AATATATAGATTGTTTTTATTTTATGAATTTTAAACTGTTTCATTACATGAGATGCAGCTTTGTGTTTATAGTTTGTTTTTATAAATAATTATCAATCTATTTCTTGTAGTAATTATATAACAAAGTTATGAAGTTTTGATAGTTTAAGGACGTAAAACGAGTATATATCTCTTCATAGATAAAAGGAGTATCCCTTAGTGGGTCAGCGGTAAGTTTATGGAGTTACAACGCTAAAATCCAGAGTTTGATTGCTCGTTGAAATAGAACGCAGATAGACCATTGTGTTGCTTTGCTCTAAAATAATAATAACAAAAACAGAGAAAAGGGTGTATAACAGGAGTAATATCTGGTTTACTCCTATTCTCATTATTCTATATCGCAAAGGAATAAATATAATCCTAAAACAAAATGAGTAAGTAAGAGAGTATTTATAAACATATCAATTTCCTTCCTTTAAACTGCTTCTCTGCCTTCAAAAAGGAGTAGAATAACTCGTTACTTTGCATTTTCCTTCTCCTCCACTGTTAGAAACATGGTAAGTTATGGTGAATTAGCCAAGCGATCCTTTGTGATCCAAGTGATGCAGATGTCAAATGATCTACTACAGATGTTGAAAGCTTTGTTTTATCATAAAAATATTTATATTATATGATTATTAATTAAATATCTGATATGTTGGAAATTTTGCTTACTTATCAAGAAGGTATGCTATTTTGTCAATGTTATACTAAAGATAGTGAAAGCTTTGAATTTTTACCATGAAGGATATGGTATATTATCAAATAAATAACACAAATATTAAAAATCTTTGTTTTTTATCACGGTTGTTAGATGGTACAAACTACCATTGTAAATGGCTGAAATAAGCAGGGAATAGTGAGAACATTTGTAAACAAGATCATAAATTGAAAGTGGAAATGTTAATTTGTTCCACCGCTGTTAATTTATAATTTGGAAATAATAAATTAATAGTAAAATTTTCTGAAACTTTGCGGGGAATTTTAGAAAATTTCATGTACAAAATCGAATAAGAAGCGAGAGGTCTGTTTGATCCATTGGATACAAGTATATATATATATAAACAAATTTGTATATTTTCTTCTGCGTATATATACATATGTGTGTGTATGTGTACATACTATTATCAACGACACTCAAAATTAAAACACCATGAGGCGTCATCAAATTCAATTAACTTATTGGTTAATACTTAATATTAATAATCGGATTATTAAAGGATTTGCATCAACTATCAAACATTTATGAAAAAAAAAAAAGAATTGTTTGATAACCAGAGTCGATGAACTACAAAACTACTTTTAATCTCATGTACACAGACAATATTTCAAGATGACTGTCATCGATCAGTAAGTTTGATGTATACTTACTGATCTGTTTGTTTGAAATACTGTATTGCCTATCAGAGACTAGCAGTTGTTGCTATTAAAACTTTATTTTTTTGTCTTACCATAGAAATTACATGTCTTGGCAAAAAGCCAATTCATGTACATGTACTGCTGCGCTGAGATTGTTTCTTGGTACTTGTAAGACTTCAATGAAACGTGTAATACAATGCCGAACACGTGTAAATTTGTTTTCATCCAGCACCGTTAGCAAACATTTTTGGCTTTTCACCAGGGGAATACCCGGGTGATAGACAGCAGGGTAGTTGCATGCTACAGTTATTTAATCGTTTGTGATGATATGTACTGTCACCTATATTAATCCTGCGTCATGTAGATCCCCCCCCCCCACTACCCCATGACCATTTTGTTTTCCTAGATCAAGTATTGTCCTCTGTCTGAATAAAACCTGATTTTCTGGTTTGAACAATGCTTTTTCTCATTTCATACCTCAAATAATGCTGTAGGAAACGACCAAATTTATTTAATCAGCTTTGAATTAAATTGGTTCTCAGTAGTTCATTTTGAGTCTGGTTAGATCTTTAGAAATATTACGCGTTAGCGATCTTCCATTCTGGTATGGGCAAACTATCAAAGTACATTGTTAATACAATAAACTGATAAAAAAGCTAAAGGCTTTATTCCTCATTGCTATCCCTCTTTTTTGCTTTTAATCGTGTCATTATTTGACTCAAGCTTTTAACACTTCCCTCTTGCCATCGTACATACTGCAATGGAGAGAGAAATATATAAAACAGGCTGTCATATTTGATATGTCATCCAACTGATCAGTCAAACTCGTATATAAGTGATTATTTCATATGCTGCCCCCCAGTGACACAGCGGCATGTCTGCGGACTTACAACGCTAGAAACCGGGTTTCGATACCCGTGGTGGGCAGAGCACAGATAGCCCTTGTGTAGCTTTGTGCATAATTAAAAACAAACAAACAAACAAACAATTTCATATGCTTCTCATACAAGAGTTTTTGTTTCGGCAAAGAAACGGATACGCAGTAAATAAGTGCCAGGAATAGCAGTGTATTAATAACTTTCTTCTAACAGCGAAATAATTCTCCTATTGCTTGTCGTATTTATGCATGTTCTCAATTTAAAACGACACCAAAATGGCAATGGTGATAGTACCACGGTGTCTACTTTCCTTTTTTTTTCTTAAACAAATATTTTAGGTTTTTTAGTCTATTTTTTTCCGTGGTCCTACCCAGCACAGTCTTCTATAGACGAATCTGTTCGAAGTAAAAATAGAAATCCCTATCCTATGTGTCCTTTTAAGGAAATCGAAGATCTCCTGTTTGTTAAATTTGCAAGAATAACGTTTATTTCAAAGAGAATGGCATATTTTTTTTTTACATGTATGCGAGGCGGAGTTTCAAAATTGAATATATAGTCTCTACTTGTGATCAGTTTTGATTTTCAAATAGTGTTTTGTAGGTAAATTTGAATTCAAAAGTAACACTTAACGAGATTATTCAATTCCTAATTAACAAGTTCTATACGTAACCTCATGAGACTAGAAGAATGTGTTTTGCTGTTAAATTGTGGAACCTTAAAAGTGAGTTGTTGTGGTATACAGTTATCACATACAATAGTAACTAGGTTTCAGAAAAATGCAAATTCTAGAAATGAATCAGGAAATCCGATGTAGATTATTCGTTAAACTTTTCGCAGGATCTGCCTCTATAGTAGGTGCCAGTACAGGTTGTCTTTACCATCACAAGAGAGTCATATTGATGGCTAATATCATTTCGGTACGTAGCTACTTTACGATTGTTACATAGGGTAGAAAGATAATTAAATTCACATAATTTTGCATGAAACAGCCCAAGATATAGAAAGCTGTGTAAATCTTAGGAGCGACTTGACTTTTCTCAAAGTAGTTTTAGCTTTCAACTTGAAAGTATCAAGATCTGTTTGAATAATTTGGAATTTTGTCCACTTTCTATATTATATGTTTGCTAACTGCTTATGTTATATTTTGCTTTTTAAACTTCACTCTGTCACGTGTCATAGTTTAACTCAGCTTTCTTTAGTTAAAGTCAAGTTTAATCACTAATTTTCCATTAGTGTTTTGAGTTCTTCATTCATTTTATTTCATTGCATTTTTATCTTCTCCATTTGCGTTTATTTGTCTTATCATTTTAAATAAAGTTTATTTTATTGTGTTTCACATGATTCTCATCTAAAATCTTGTGCATTTTCGTTTCTCCAACCAAGTTCATTACACTTTAATATTTCACCACTTATACCCTGTATCTTTACTGAGTTATCTGTACATGTACTTTTGTAACCTGAAATACTGCAGTTATTATTTAGCTGTATATACTCAATAAATTATTAATTTATTATTTTTGAATACCTGTACATCATCTACCAATTGCAAAATAATCGACGTTAAAACATGTTACTTAATAATGCTGTATTGTATATATATATATATATATATATATATAGT